TATAGTCAAGACTATAGACTGATCTATAGTCAAGACTATAGACTGATCTATAGTCAAGACTATAGACTGATCTATAGTCCAGACTATAGACTGATCTATAGTCAAGACTATAGACTGATCTATAGTCAAGACTATAGACTGATCTATAGTCAAGACAATAGACAGATCTATAGTCAAGACTAAAGACTGGTTTATAGTCAAGACCATAGACTGATCTTTAGTTAAGACTATAGACTGATCTACAGTCCAGACTATAGACTGATCTATAGTCAAGGCTATAGACTGATCCAGATTATAGACTGATCTATAGTCCAGACTATAGACTGATCTATAGTCCAGACTATAGACTGATCTATAGTCAAGACTATAGACTGATCTATAGTCAAGACTATAGACTGATCTATAGTCAAGACTATAGACTGATATATAGTCAAGACTATAGACTGATCTATAGTCAAGATTATAGACTGATCTATAGTCAAGACTATATACTGATCTATAGTCAAGATTATAAACTGATCTATAGTCAAGTCTATAGACAGATCTATAGTCAAGACTATAGACTGATTTATAGTCAAGATTATAAACTGATCTATAGTCAAGACTATAGACTGATCTATAGTCAAGACTATAGACTGATCTATAGTCAAGACTATAGACTGATCTATAGTCAAGACTATAGACCGATCTATAGTCGATACTACAGACTAATCTATAGTCAATACGACAGACTAATCTATAGTCAAGACCATAGACTATTTTATTAAAATTAACTAAAAGTTTATTTTAAAAACTTAAGTTTATTTCTTAAAACCCCCATATGTTTTTCTTAATTAACATATTTATTTTTTGTTTTCCTAGTCTTAGCGGATGTTTCCTTTTTTTCCTGTTCTTTTAAAAATTAACATTTAACAAAACCTTTAGCTTTTAAACATTAACTAGTGGGTTTTTCTTTATATGAATTTTTAGTTATTATTAGTATTTTTTTTTTTTGCCATGATAGACATGTGTCATTTTTGTGTTAGTTTAAGGGACAACATAAGTTATTATTGTATTGTCTAGTTATCAGACTTTATATGTAAAACATATGTGTATGTTTAAGGTTGTTTCTAAGCAGTTTTAGCTTAACATGCAACTGGAAATGTTATTAGAATTACAAATTTTTCTTTACGCGATAGGGTCTTTAACAAGGAAGTTATAGGGATTGTAGAAATTTACATAAATAAGAAACAAACAAAGCTAGAAATTAAAGACTTTTTTTAAAGAAAACAGGGGAATTAAGAGGGCAAAGGAGAGGGAAGAAACCACAAATTTTGCTAAACTTTTTCTTCACTATTAGATAGTTTACAGCATAAGCTTTCATATAAAAGAAATTTTAATAAAATTGCTTTATATCACCGTGTCCGTCCCCGTCTCATTTAAATTACTGTCATTTTAAAGTTATTTGGGACTGTCTGTCTGTCTTTCTTAACATTATTATTACTATAAAATTATTTTAAAAGCTCTGTAATAGTTTGTTGTTTTTATTTAATGTTTATGTTTCTTTGGACTTGTTGTTGTTATGGCTGTTTTATAACCTGACATTTTTTTACGATTGTTTTTAATGTTATTAACAACTAACATGTCACTTTAACAAGCCAAAGTGAGAAAGTATAAAACAACAATAAAAAAAAACGCACTTGTAAAAAAAGTGTGTATTTTTATGGGTTGTACAAAAAAAGTACTAAACATTTTGCTACATTTTTCTTTAATAGGCCTAAAAAAATGGCTTTAAAGTAGTAAAAATGTAATTATTTGTCTGCTAGAGTTTTAAAGCACAATTTTGAAAAGAAGAACAAGGAATAGAAAAGAAAAATTTATAAAAAATTTTTAAAATAAACATTTTAAAACAAGTTCATTGATTTGTTGTTGGCAGGTCTTAATTTTTTTCAACAATTTTCTAGACTCTACAATTATTATGTTTATATGTTTTTGTGTAATAAAATAACAACTTTAAACTACCACAACTAGAACTAAAACTCCTGTACTTCCCTTTTAAACAACTCTGATTTGTAAAATGTTTAAAATTACTCTGTACAGTAAATAAACTGTGAACTAAAATAAAAAAAAATAAAAAAAAAACAAAAAAACTTCACTCTCTATAAATATTTCCTCACTATGACCTGATGCTGGTTTTCAGTTGGCAGAGATCTTGTGATGCCTGGAAGCTAAAAATCATATCAAAACTACAACTAAAATGCATACAAAACACATGCTGCTATACTAAAATAACAACATTATTTTGTTGTTTTTGTTATTGTTGTTGTTTTTTTACAAATCACAAAATTACATACTAAACGAAAAAAATATAAAGTCTTATTTGCCATCATGTGGCTGTTGAAAAGTACTAACTACTAGCCGGGCAATTATAGGGTAAGGGAAAAAGTTTAATGTCTATAGTCTGGCCCATATATTAACTATAGATTGACTATTGGCTAGCCAATAATCTGGACTATAGGCTGAATATGGTCTAGTTTATAGATTGATTATAAATTGGACTATAAACTGAATATAGTCGACCTATAGATCAGACTATAGTCAGTCTATACTTTAGGCTACATTCATGCTAGAGTAGAGAATATGATCAATCTATAGTCCAGACTATAGTCTGCTTATAGACCAGGCTATAGTCGAAACCATAGATAGTCTATAGTCCGAACTAAAGTCAATATTTAATCATGACTAAAGTCAGTCTACAGTAATCCTATAGTCCGGACTATATACAGTCTATAGTCCAGACAATAAGCAGTCTGTAGTCAAGACGCCAGACACTCTTTAATATATACTATAGTTCATCTATAAACTAGACTATAATCAGGCTAGACTTTAGTCAATCTATAGGCCAGACTGTAATCAATCTATAGTCCAGACTATAGTCAGTCTATTATAAAGACTATTGCCAGTCTAACGTCCAGTCTATAGTTAGTCTATAGCCAAGACTATTGTCAGTCTATAGTCCAAACTTTAGCTAACTATTACTATATAAATAATGTCAATATTTAATCATGACTATAGTCTGGACTGTATACAGTCTACAGTCAAGACGACAGACGGTCTCTACTATAAACTATTGGCTAGACTATAGACAATCTAAAGGCCAGATTATAGTCAATCTATAGCCCAGACTATAGTCTATCTATAGGCCATACTGTAATCAATCTATAGTCCTGATTATAGTCAGTCTTATAAAGAATATTGTTAGTCTAATGTCCAGCCTATAGTCAGTCTAAAGTCCAGTCTATAGTCACTCCATAGCCGAGACTATAGTCAGATTATAGACCAGACCATAGTCAAAATAATGTCAATATTTAATCATGACTATAGCCAGCCTATTAATCCCATAGTCCGGACTATATACAGTTTATAGCCCAGACTATACGCATTCTATAGTTAAGACGACAGACAGTCTATAATATAAACTATAGTCAATCTATACACTAGACTATAATCAGTCTATAGGCTAGACTATAGTCAATCTATAGGACATACTATTGTTAAACTATAGGCCAGACTATAGTCAAACTATAGGCCAGACTATAGTCAGATTGTAATCAATCTATAGTCCAGATTATATGCAATCTATTGTAAAGACTATTGTCAGTTTAAAGCCCAGTCTATAGTCAGTGTATTGCCCCTGTAATAGCCAGTGTATAGTCCAAAGTAATCCTATAATAATCCGTCTATAGTAATCCTATAGTCCGGACGACAGACTGTCTATAATATAAACTATAGTACATCTATAAATTAAACTGTAATCAGTCTATAGGCTAGACTATAGTCAATCTATAGGACAGTCTATAGTGAAACTATAGGCCAGACTATAGTGAAACTATAGCCCAGACTATAGTGAAACTATAGGCCAGTCTATAGCTAGACTATAGTATGTCTATAGGCCAGACTGTAATCAATCTATAGTCCGGATTATAGTCAGTTTATTATAAAGACTATTGTCAGTATAATATCCAGACTATAGTCAGTCTAAAGTGCAGCCTATAGCCGGTCTATAGCCCAGACTATAGTCATTCTATAGTCCAAACTGTAGCCAGTCTATAGTCCAAACCAATGTCGTTGTCCGACCATAGTAATCCTATAGTTCGGTCTATATACACTCTATAGTCCAGACTATAGACAGTCTATAGTCAAGACGTCAAAGAGTTTTTGAATTTTTTCCCTTAACCAATATTTTATGCGTTTTTGTACAAGAATTTCATTAAAAAGAATATGTATATAAAACAGATAGAACGATAAAGTATCGAAGAAAATGCAGCAGTTAAAAGTATCTTTCAAGAAAATTATAGACTTTTTGATTTGCTGTTAAAACGCCCCTTTTTTCCCTAGGTTCCTTTAAACGAATTTTGTTTAGCCGTTTTTCAAATCAATATTTTTTTTGGTTTTATTACATTTAACCATAATTCTAATGTTATTTTAAATACTTGTTTTTGTCTATATTAAAACCCCACCTTTTTTAGTTAAAGAGGGTTTTTGGCCGGCAGACAGAAAAATTAATATTTCATACACATATTTTTATTAACAAGTGTCAACACGTTTAACTTAAATCGGTTTTACAAAATAAATATTAATGTTTTTGACCATAAAAGTAATAAGTTTTTTTTTCATGAAATTTAATATTTACAAAATTAATTAAAAATTCCAAGCATAATTTTATTAAGTTTAAGCAATTGCTTTATATTTTAGGTTAAGAAACATTTGTTTTTAAATTAAACTTAATTTTTTTGATTTCTAGGAATTGTTTTTTTTTTTTTTTTTTTTGGAAAATAACTGAATTTTTGTTTTTTTTTTTTTAATTTACAAAGGCGCCATTTGACCGTTTTAATTGGTCTATAAATTATGACATATAAGTTTGAAATCAAAAACCTTAAAGTTATTTGAAAGTTCATTGAGCATAAATTTAAAATTTTATAAATATTTTTAAAAATATTTTTATATTTTTCAATTCTTACCATTTTTTCCATTTTTTATTATTGCTGTATAATTTTATAATTTTCAATTATAGTTGTTGTTGTTGTTATTCCCCAGCAATTTACTTCATTAAATATTTGCAAATTTCAATCATATAAAAAAAAGAGCTGTAAAGATAAAAATTATAAAAAATTTTTTAGATTAAAATAAATATTTGCACAATAAAAATAAACACAAACAATATAAAATGGAAAATAAAATTAATTAATATTTAATCTACAAAAAATAAATATTTAAATTTAATTTAAACAATAATTTCCTTAAGGAAATATTGAATATAAGATTTGTATTTTTAGTTCAGTTCTAGCTCAGTTGTAGTTTAGTTGTAGTTTAGTTGTAGTTCAGTTGTAATTCAATTGTAATTATGTTGTAATTCAGAAGTAATTCAGTTGCAGTTCAGTTGTTGTTCAGATCTAGTTCTGTTCTAGTTCTATTTTAGTTCTGTTCTAGTTCTTTTCTAGTTCCGTTGTAGTTCTGTTCTAGTTCTGTTCTAGTTGTGTTCTAGATCTGTTCTAGTTGTGTTCTGGTTGTGTTCTAGTTCTGTTCTAGTTATGTTCTAGTTATGTTCTAGTTCTGTTCTAGTTCTGTTCTAGTTCTGTTCTAGTTCTGTTCTAGTTCTGTTCTAGTTCTGTTCTAGTTCTGTTCTAGTTCTGTTCTAGTTCTGTTCTAGTTCTGTTCTAGTTCTGTTCTAGTTCTGTTCTAGTTTTGTTCTAGTTCTGTTATAGTTCTGTTCTAGTTCTGTTCTAGTTCTGTTCTAGTTCTGTTCTAGTTCTGTTCTAGTTCTGTTCTAGTTCCGTTCTAGTTCTGTTCTAGTTCTGTTCTAGTTCTGTTCTAGTTCTGTTCTAGTTCTGTTCTAGTTCTGTTCTAGTTCTGTTCTAGTTCTGTTCTAGTTCTGTTCTAGTTCTGTTCTAGTTCTGTTTAGTTCTGTTTTAGTTCTGTTCTAGTTCTGTTCTAGTTCTGTTCTAGTTCTGTTCTAGTTCTGTTCTAGTTCTGTTCTAGATGTGTTCTAGTTCTGTTCTAGTTGTGTTCTAGTTGTGTTCTAGTTGTGTTCTAGTTCTGTTCTAGTTCTGTTCTAGTTCTGTTCGAGTTCTGTTCTAGTTCTGTTCTAGTTCTGTTCTAGTTCTGTTCTAGTTCTGTTCTAGTCCTGTTTTAGTTCTTTTTAACAACTTTGAATAGCATGCTTTATAAATCTGTATGCTTTGTCTAATTTCCAAACAGCAACCATATAGAGCTGTTGACTTTAAGGCAAATGATGTAAATAAAGTTAAAGCCATTTTGTTGTTGGTGAAATACATTGTTTACATTTGTTTATAAAAAAATCAAGATCCAACATGGCGTTGTAGTGAAAGAGATTTAACTTCTTACGGGTGAGAAAAGATTACCTGCTAAAGTAAATTAAACAGATTCTTTAGCATTTGCCTAATAAAGGAAATTAATTTATTAAATAATTACTTAGTGTTAAAAGAAAAGGGCAAGATTTAAGTTTATATTTAGTAGTTGGGAGTATTAGTTAATAAATAAAAAAATTGGAGACTAAAAATCAAAGATGAACTTTTTTTAAATTTAGTTTTTATTAAAAGTATGTAACTTTAAATTAGCTTTAGTTTGCTGTAACAAATTTTATAATATTCCTCAATTGCTAACAAAAATTGCCTAATTTTAGGCTTTTTCTTAACACAACTATTAATTACATGTCCCCTTCCTTGAAAACAATTAAATAAATAGCCTCATTTTTCCCAAAAAAAAAAACAACAATAAAAACTATATTCTCCGCTTATTTAATTACTTTTCCTGCCAATAAATCATTCTTGGTCCAAATACAAAGCAAAAAAATATGGCAGGACATTAATTACCAACAGTAAAAAAAAAAAAAAAAAAAAATCTGGCAGCTTCAATCTCTATCTCTCCCTTAAACAAAAGCTAAATAACGGTTAATCATAGATTTTTTGCTTTGTTCTATCCTTCTCTCTTTCCTTATTACACTCCCTCCCTCACCAAATAAAGCTCTAGTTTTTGCTACACATTAGTCGCAACAGGCATGGAAAACTTAGTACTTTAGTTCTAGTCTATAGTCTAGTCTAAAGTCTAGTCTATAGTCTAGTCTATAGTCTAGTCTATAGTCTAGTCTATAGTCTAGTCTATAGTCTAGTCTATAGTCTAGTCTATAGTCTAGTCTATAGTCTAGTCTATAGTCTAGTCTATAGTCTAGTCTATAGTCTAGTCTATAGTCTAGTCTATAGTCTAGTCTAGTCTATAGTCTAGTAGTCTAGTCTAGTCTATAGTCTAGTCTATAGTCTAGTCTAGTCTATAGTCTAGTCTAGTCTAGTCTATAGTCTAGTCTAGTCTATAGTCTAGTCTATAGTCTAGTCTATAGTCTAGTCTATAGTCTAGTCTATAGTCTAGTCTATAGTCTAGTCTATAGTCTAGTCTATAGTCTAGTCTATAGTCTAGTCTATAGTCTAGTCTATAGTCTAGCCAATAGTCTAGTCTATAGTCTAGTCTATAGTCTAGTCTATAGTCTAGCCTATAGTCTAGTCTATAGTCTAGTCTATAGTCTAGTCTATAGTCTAGTCTATAGTCTAGTCTATAGTCTAGTCTATAGTCTAGTCTATAGTCTAGTCTATAGTCTAGTCTATAGTCTAATCTATAGTCTAGTCTATAGCCTAGTCTATAGTGTAGTCTTTAGTCTTGTCTATAGTTTAGTCTATAGTCTAGTCTATAGTTTAGTCTATAGTCTATTATATAGTTTAGTCTATAGTCTAGTCTATAGTCTAGTCTATAGTCTATTTTAGTTTAGTCTATTGTCTAGTCTATACCGTAGTATATAGTCTACATTCTACTTTAAAGTCTAGTCTATACTGTAGTCTATAGTCTACAGTCTAGTATATAGTCTAGTCTATAGTGTAGTCTATAGTCTAGTCCATAGTCTAGTCTATAGTCTAGTCTGTAGTCTAGTTTATAGTCTAATTTATAGTCTAGTCAATATTCTAGTTTAGTTACTCCAGTTAATACTAATTTAAGTTTTCCATGCCTGAGTCACCGGTTAAGTCATGTAAATGTAAAAGGAAATGGAGGAAAAAAATCATGTTGGTGGTTTGAGTGGGTGGTATAAATTGTTTACATTACACTCTCTCTCTAACTCTCTTTTTCACTCTCGCTCTAAACTAACGGTTTAATTTAACCCTAAAAAAGAGCTCTTAGAAGCGGGTTAAAGAGTAGGATGGTGTCAATGTTAGTCAAACTTAACTAATAAAGAGATAAGAAATAAACAAAAACAAAGAAATATAACTGTTTGCTGCTGTTTTTAGTTGTTGTTATAATATTTCTTTTGATTTCTTGTTGTTGTCTCGTTATATTCATTATGTTTTTTGTTTTGTTTTATTTTACTGCTGCTGTCGTTGTTGTATTTAAGTATTTAAAGGCGGCATTTTTACTTTTGATTTATTTCTTTATGTATAGTGTTATTGTTGTTGGTGTTGTTGTTTTATTTTCTTCTATCATTTCAATTTTATAGACCGTGTAACGTTCGTTTTACGCTGTTAGAATTTAATAAAGAAAAAACAAGTACAAATAATATGTGGGGGTAGTAATGAAAAAATATTGTTTATGACAAAAAAAAAAAAAAAAAACAAGAAAAAAAAACATCTAGTGAAATATACAGATAGTAAATGCAATACATATTTTTTAATTTGCGATTAATTAAAACAAAAGTAGAAACAACAAACATCTAAAAAAAAAATACAAATTGCTTTAAAAAGTGATGGAAAAAAGGAAGTAAGAGTTAATTTTCTAAAAATAAACCTTAAAGATTTGAATGTGATTTAATTTTGCTTAAAATTTAATACAGTTGATGGAATTTAGTCAAATTCAGCTAGCTGAATAGAGCTAATATTAAGAAATCTTAAGAAATAGCTTGTTTTAAACACTTCTACTTTAAAATTTATAAGTAGAAGTGTTTTAAAACATAAAATAGCTGAATTAAGTCATATTCAGCTAGCTGAATAAGGCTAAAATTATTAAATTTATAATGAAAACTATAAAAAGGTTAATTACATAAATTCAGCTAGCTGAATTAGTTTAAAAAGCTATATAAAGCAAGAAAATTAGCTTAAATTTCTATTTTAAGAATTTTTTTTTTACTTCAGCTAGCTGAATTGAGCTAAAATTAAAAATTATATTAGAAAAATTGTTTTAAATGATAATTGTAACAATTTTCTTCAATTCAGCTAGCTGAATAAGGCATAATTTTTAAAATTTATAAGAAAAAATGTTTTAAAATATAAAATAGCTTAAATAAGTCATATTCAGCTAGCTTAATAAGGTTAAAATGGCAAAATTTTAAAAAAACTTTGGTTTAATTTATAAAAAAGAGTTATTTACACAAATTTAGCTAGCTGAATTAGTTTAAGAAGCTTTATAAAGTCAGAAAATTTGCTTAAATTTATATTTTAAGAAATTTCTTTTAATTCAGCTAGCTGAATTGAGTTAAAATTGAAAATTTTATAAGAAAAAATGCTTTAAATGATAATTATAGCAGTTTTCTTTAATTCAGCTAGATAAGTGGCCAGATATTTGAAAAGTTATAAAGTTTTTTAACAACTTTCTAAACATTATAAATCATAAACTAATCTTTTCTATTTAATAATTTTAAAAGTCAATTGAAAGCTTATAGTATCGAAATGCAAATAAACAATTGACCAATAGCAATAATTTATAGATTTTCTATCCAAACTTTGAAAACTTTTACTTTATAAAAGCTGCTGATTTAGTTACATTATCTGTTTGTTAAAGAAATATATGTATTTATTAAATGTTGTTTTCTTTTTTTTATCTAAAAATGATGGATGTTGCAAATACTCATTAATATTAATTAAAACACCACATGTGTTAAATCATAATTCCCTGAATTATTACTTTAAACATAAAAAAGACTTTTTAAACTTTAGCCTTCTCCAACAGAATCTTTTTTTTTGTAATAACAAAACAATAAATTGTCAACCTTTTTTATTCTTTAACAAAAAATCATCTAAAATTAATGAGTTTATTTTGAAAATACCTTTTTTGTTGTCTGGTAAATAAAACAAAATTTTAAAAATATTTAACATAA